ATAAAAACTAAAACAAGGATGGCATTGCATGAAGATTTACTTGTTGCATCCGGAGAAATTTGCGGCTTTGGGGCAACTTCCTTTCCATTTTTTCGGTGGAGGGCCAAAACCGTCGTCATTAAAGCTCTCGGAGTCGGGCGAAATTCCTATTATGCATAAAAGATAACTAAAAACCAAGGTTCTGAAAACTGAACCGGACCAGCTAGTTCAACCGGTTGGACCGAGAACTGGCTTTCATTCTGGTCTGGTTAGCAGCATCAAACAGCTTGAACTGAGAACCGTTCAAGAGCCGGTTGAACCGGTCCAGAACTGGAGGAACCGGTGAACCGGGACCGATTTTGGAGGTTCATCGGTTCCAATTTATTTATTATTATTATTATTATTTTGTGAATGGTTGATTGTGAGTGATTTAAATAGCACACACTTTTTATTTGTTTATCTGATGTGGAATATGTTCAGTTGCTGTAATTATTGGGCCAATATTGGGCCTTACAAGTAAATTATACTCATTAAAAAAATGTAATATTTTTTGAATTGAACTATTTAACGTGCTATATCTATTCCCAAATTATTAAAGAATAAAGGAGCAATTTGTTGTGAATTGTTATGCATATAATTTTTATTTTTCTATTCAATAATAAAAAACTTAAAATGTGATTTAAAGGTCAAAATAGAGTTGTTTCTATTCTCTCTATTTTGTAACTTTAATATAGCATAAAATTTGAAATATAAAAAATAAAATAAAAAATTTATCAACATTATTGAGCACGTCGGTTGTATCTATTATTGAACTATTATTTAGAGAAATATCATACACTATAAATTAATGATAAAAATATATACAACTATATATTATACATATAACTAAATAAAAAATTGTATATTAATTAAACCGATTCGACCACTGGTCCGACCAGTGAACCATTGGACCGGTAGCTTTACCAGTTCAATAACTGGTTCGATTTTCAGAACTATGCTAAAAACTAATGGCCTATGTATTATACAATGGAAATGAGATTAATCGTCAAGCAAAGTATTCACACTAATGAATGTAGAGTTTTACTTGATTGGCATTGTACCTGAGTCAATCATTCCAACTATGATGTCGCTCTCAACTTCTAAATTCCTCTTCGACTTTTCAGTTAGTCTGAGGAAATCCCATGATCTTGTCGTGTGTAGCTTCCTGTATTGGTTTCGGAAAACCGAGGCAACTTTATCCATACCTGGAATGTTTTTTCATAATAAATATTCCATTTTCAAAGTACAAATGCTGTTAAATTGTTGCAGATACCCTGTTAGGTTCATAATGTTAACATAATGTCCAGGTGGAATTGTTAAATAGAAATAAGTACCATTAGTCTAAATTATAATTTAAAAACTATAGATGAGCTTCTATGATTAGATTGTTATTAATGTGGTGTGTTCAAGAAAAAACAAATCACAAGGCTCAACATACTTGATAGCTTTGTAGCTTCATCATCAGAAAGCTTTGCTGCAAATGCATTGAAACTTTTCGTGTAGCTATAAGCAAGAGCTTCTGCAGCAGCATCTTCACTGAAGCCAAAAGCAACATTCAAGTTTAGACGAATTACTATTCATAACACGTACCATTGTCATATTTCCCCCCTTTTTTCTCAATTTGTATTGGTTTGGTTAGTTGTTAGTGAGATTTTGAGTTTATATTAAAATAATATTTATAATAAAATAATTAAAATTGATTTGATGTAAAAATAGGAAATAAATGATGTGAAGTGATGGATAATTAAAATTATGTGAGTGGATGAGTAGTAAACTAAAGTTGATGAAATGTGTAAAAATAATTTATTGATATTATGTAATTGTATTAATAATATTGTGGATAGTGAGATTGAGTTAAAGTTGAATTAGATTTGAGTTAAAAAAAATGATTGATAAGAAAATGATTGGTTTTTATTTAGATATCTCGTATCTCCTTAGCACTTAGTTCGTTCATCATGGCCAATCACGAACAAAAGTGAAAACAATTAGGAAAAGCTTAATCATTGCATGAGCCACGAATAGGACTCAAATCGCACAGAGCGAAGAATAGAAGTTGGTGAACGGACTAACCTTCCTTTCAAAGATGAAAGGATATTCAGATGCGTCTCGACAAGTGTCGGTCTCTCATTCGTAGTCTGATCTCTCAAGAAAACAATGTAGAAGTCCTGCCAGAAAACGGGATTCTAATATCGCACGCATGTACGTAAAAAGAAACATATAACAAAATTACAGAAGTGTTTGACTTTCTTACATTCCCATTTTCGGCTAAAACACTTGTAACGACAAGACAAAGTAAGAGAAAACCCAAAGGAAGCGCATTATTAAAAATTTTTTTCAACATGATGACCGAAAGTGGAGTCTGTGTGTATGATTAATGAAGAGTGACATATAAATAAGATTATTTGAAGACATTAAAGATGAAACAACAGATCAATTTTTCTGTGAATAGCAAGTAATGGTGGGCCTGAAATCAATAGACTTTAGCTTAACTCATTAGTCATCTGGTGGAATTAATCTTGTATTGGTAAAACCTTACAAGGAATGATGAACATACTCTGATAGTGGGCCTTGACAATGATAGAGGAAATGCCATTGCCGATTTTATTTATTTTTAATTATCATGATTTTTGGGTAAAATTTGGATAACTGTAGCTTTTATTTCTGGTTTCAGGCTGTTTGCTTTCTTTGGATGATATTGTCAGGACCAATGGCTGCCCAATGGGAGAGTATAAAGTGATATTACTCTGGTAGTGTTGGTTAGGGTAGCTTCCAATTTAAGATGAGTTGTATATAGTCACCCTTTGCTGATAAAAGAAAAAATAATGTAGTTTTCAGTTGTCTTTTTAAATGTCTAATCTTTTTTTTTATTTTATCGGCAAATGTAAATATATAGATCAATATTGAGGTTCGAACGACCGTAAGACGGCATACAAAAGCACAATGGGCAGCCACAAGCTCGGCTCCTCATTCGCTAGAGAAAGGACTAGGGGACAACCACACGTCGGTTGCTCACTCAAATGTCAATGAAAAGCAAAGAGAGTGCACGGGTACTCGGCACTACCGTCGGCTAGAGGGTGATCTCCGCGTCGGCGCATGCGTGCTGGACAACTCTCAAACTCCAAATGCAAAGAAAAGGTCTCTCAAAGCCCAAGGCTCCGCCTCTCAAACTCGGCTAACACATTCGGGTATAGCGCAAAAATGGTGCGATAGACATGAGTTTTTACCTTATGGATCACAAGGCTCGGGGGTTGATATTCATTTTCGAAAATCAACCTATTCCTCGCATTCCAAATGAAGTACACGGTAGCCGCTAGCGCCGCTTTCTTCAACTTAAATTGCCAACTAGCCCCTCTAGCCTCCTTCTTGGTCCATTTGAGGGCCCCTTTGAGAGTCGACGGCCTATGACGCAGGCTAACCCATACTCGAATCTCCCCCAAATTTCCGAGCTAAAGGGGCAATCAAAGAAGAGGTGTCTCGATGATTCATTCACAACACCGCAAAGAGAGCAGGTCGGGTCTTCGTCGAGAAACTCTAAGCGGTCTTTTGTCCGGAGCCGATTGAGCAACCCCAACCAAAGGATAAAAGAGTGTTTGGGGGTATTACAAGTCCCCCAAACAACCCCAGCCCAAGGCACCAAAGACCCTCTAGGTCTTAGGAAGTCGTAGCATTTACTTGACCCATCTTGCCTATCTCGAGAGCTCCAACCGTGAAGAAGGGCTTTCGTGGCTCGCTCACTACCCGCCTTTTCATCCAAAACATGTCGGATCCCGAAGAGAGCTTTGAAGAGAGATGAGTCTTTCGTGTCAATTTCCCAATCCCAAAGGGTGTCCTTCTTGGCTTGCATATTCCAAAGCATCCGAGTAAGCAACGATTGGTTCCAAGCATCTAATTCCCGAAGATCCAAACCCCCTTCCGAGCGCGGTAGACATAAGCTATCCCATGCAACGAGAGCACTTTTCGAGCCCCAAAGAAACCTCCTACAAAGTTGGGTAATTTGGTGCGCACAGTGCCGGGAAAGTGGAAGATCCCCATCCAAAAACACTTGATACCTTGGATCACCGAGCGGATAAGTTCCAATCTTCCGGCGTAGGAGAGTGTGTGTCCACTTCATCGGCTAAGTTGTCCTTCAATTTGCTCTATCATATCGTCAAAAAATTGGCCAGTGAATCGTTCCGCATTGAGGGTACATCTAGGTATCAAAAGGGCATTAAACCACATTGTATGCTCATGTTGTCAAAGATAATAGCCCGACTGTCATCTTTTACTTCCGCCAAGAAGATATTGGATTTTAGCACATTTATTTCAAGCCCCGATTTAGCCCCAAATTCCTTTAAGCAATTCATGAGGATTTGAATCGACGAAGGGTCACCTCGAGAAAGAAGCATGAGGTCATCGGCGTAAGCAAGGTGCGATATTTAAGATGCTCACACATCGGATGGAATTTAAAGTTCGAGCCTTCCGCCGTGTTCCATTTGATAAGCCGAGAGAGATACTCTATGCAAATCACAAAGAGGAAAGGTGAGAGGGGGTCACCTTGCCTAAGTCCGCGTGCTCGTTTGAAGTGTCCCTCAAGCACTTGCTTCAAAAACGCCCAAGAGATTGAATCAAAGGCTTTGCGAGGTCGATTTTGATGGTATGCCTTGGGGTGACTCGTTTCCTCAAGTAATGCCGAAGCAATTGTTGCATGAGGTGGATATTGTCCGTTATGTTCCTCCCTTTGACAAAAGCGGCTTGGGCCTCATCGATGATGGAGTCAAGAACTTCGCTAATTCTCCTAGCAAGGATCTTGGAGCAAATCTTGTACACCGTGTTGCAACACGCAATTTTAGTTCTACAATTTTAAATACTTAATTTTGCTTCTAATGCATTTTATTTATATATTTAGTTCTCTTTTATTTACATGTTCTATCTTTTCGGCTCCTCCCCCGCCACACATGTCCAGCTTCTGGTTGGTGCTGACAACGACGTTTTTGTTCGGCAGATCAAGGTCGGTGATATTGATGTTGCTAGATCTCTTCCCAACCGTTCAATTGTAGGGAACTTACATCAATGTCCCTTTTTGTGTCAGAACTATCTCCAACTCTTGCCTCCATGTTAGATCTGATAAGTTGTCCAGAGTTTGGGATAAAAGTTTTCAAATGTGAAGGCCTTATCTGTGGATCTCTTTTTGTTGTAGGAGTTGGTGTGAAGCTTGTGCTTGGTTGGACTCAAGTTGTGGGGGATCTTGCCCTATTGTCATGGTTGTTGGTGATGTAGAATTTGTGGGGCCGGTTGTGGTTGTGAGTACTTTAGAAAAAAAAAAGATGTGTTTATTCTACCTCTCTCTCTCTATATATATATAGTTAGGCTTAAGTGAGAATTGTAGATAATGAAAGAAATAATAATGATTATAGACCATTAGATCGGTACGATCAATGGACATGATAAAGTCAAACTTTAATAAATAATGGTTAATCATTAATAGCAATACAGTAAATAAATATACACATTAAGATCATATTTACATATTTGACCACTCAATAGGGACATATTAGTCATTACATACCCATTCAATATTCAACATAGGCCCACCATTAACCCTTCTTCTACCCCTTTCTCTCTAACACACAAATACACACGCTACAATTAAGCCCCATATTTCTCTCTCCCCGACTGCGGCCAGAAACCGACGACGTCAACCGCTGGCATCCGCGCTCACCGACCACCACCATCTGCCACTCCTCCGACCAACTCAGATCTCAAGCAGCACACATACTCACACACACACTCCACGCATTGTTCCATACCAGTCAGCCCCACCGCTCGCCGCCGCCCACTGCAGCTACCGTCGTCATCTCCGACGCGGTCATCTTTATTTTACCGTCTTTCTCTCCCTCTCTCTCTGTCTAATTCTCCGACGGAGGTTGCTCTGCCGATTAACTCCTTTCGGCTGACTTCGCCGGCATCGGAATCTGCTACACCGTCGCCATCGAGTTCCTCAGTCTCCCCTCCGCCAGCCGTCTTCTCCGCCTACGGAATTAAAAATCGACCAAATCAATGAAAACCATCACTGAAACCATAAATCCCAACTTTCGATCATCTGTAAATCAAAATCAGATCGGAGACGGTGTGAGGCTCAGCCGCCGGCGCGAGGCTCGATTATGTGGTCATCAACACACACCCAGATGCGACGTTGGGTAAGGAAACAACTGCGGGTGGGATTGGGTTAATGACGGGAGGCAGATTGTAGGTGGGGATTAGGTCTTAATTTTGTGAATTAGATAATTTGAGGATCT